AGAAAGGTAAGGAGGAAGTTGTAAATTATTTTCTTTATCTATTTTATTGATAATAATTAAATGATTTTTATTTTTAATGCTTTGAAAAATGTTTTCCTCCGCTTGACTTCAAGAACCAGAATTATCCACTAAAAAAAAGACAATATCGGCGGCTTCTAGGACTTGCCAACTCCTTTTTACACCAATTTTTTCCACTAGATCCTGAGTTTCGTGAATTCCGGCAGTATCCAATAAAGTCAAAGGAATTCCATTTAAAATATAGCGGGCTTCTACTATGTCTCGTGTAGTGCCAGCAATGGGAGAAACAATAGCCTTTTCTTCTTGCAATAAAGCATTTAAAAGCGTTGACTTTCCCACATTTGGCTTTCCCACAATAGCCACTTTTAACCCTTCTTGGTAAACCTGGGATTTTTGACCACTTTTTTGAATAATTTCTAATTTTTCCAGCAATTTATTTAAACGCCAAAGTGCTGCCTTTCCGGTTAGATATTCCACTCCGTCGTATTCGGGATAATCAATATTTACTTTGATAGTAGCAATAATATCTAATAGTTCATTTTCAATTACTTCCAATTCTTTTTGGCTTTCTGAACTTAAATTATGAAGGGCTAATTTGGCAGCGGACAAACTGGGAGCCCGAATTAAATCGTTAATGGCTTGAGCTTGGACTAAATTTAATTTATCATTAAAAAAAGCCTGTTTAGTAAATTCTCCTTCCTGAGCCAACTCTGCCCCATTTTCTAAAGTTAATTGCAATATTTGGTTAACAATAAATAAATTGCCGTGGCAACTAATTTCCACCACATCCTCCCCGGTAAATGAACGTGGTCGGCAAAAACAAAGTAATAATACTTGGTCAATCACTTCTTGCTGGGAATTAATAATTTTTCCAAAAATTAATTGCGGTTTTTTTTGCGGATATTCTGGTAAAGAACGGTCAAAAATTTTAGCCATAATCTGATAAGTGGCAGTTCCGGAAATCCGAATTAAAGCAATATTCTGGGTAATGGGAGCAGTTACCAAAGCCACAATCGTTTTTTCAGCAGACATTAAATAATTTTTGTTAAGATAATTTACCTGCTAAAATTAATTCCCGCAGTTCCTTTATATTTTCGATTCAATGAATTTTTATTTTAGCCTTAATTTCAGGCGGAACTTCTTTTTGATAATCCTCTTTGTTTTCAATTCATTTTTTTTGGCATTCATCTCAGGAGGATAAAAGAGGGGCAGTTTGGTATTTGGAGAGTACTAACCGGTTAAGCCCTTTTTCAGCACAAGCAGCAACTTTCTCTTCGAGACCAGCGATTGGCAAGTTAGTCCCTGATGCTAAAAGAATTTCTCGACCATTAACCATTCCTTTCTGCTCTGACATTATTAGGTTACCGGTAGCGGCCACTGAGTGGGAAATTGGTTTTTGGTGTAGAACACTTAACAAAGCCAAATAAATCGCACTTCCGCCCGAACTTCCTTGGCTGTATCCGATATTAACATCTCACTCATTACCAAATCTTTGAGCTCCAATCGCTCACAAAATTGACACTTCGCACCGCCGAGGATCAATATTCTCTTGTTGCAAAACAAAATTAACTATTTTTCGGGTTTGACCGCGGTCTCCTCGTTCATCTTCAACTCCCATTCCAAATCTTTTATCAATATTAATTCTGATTTTACCAGCGGGAACTTTTCGCACGATAACTATTAAATCTTTAATTCGACCTACTCAGAAGTTAGTTTCATGTATTTTTAGTCCTTCCTCAGCGGTAGTATCAGGGTCATTTAATCGAGGATTAGGCATAATTATTAATCCGTTTAATACTCCAATTCTCTCCTGGGTAGTTAAATTCGGAATTTCCGCTTCTGGTATTTGTCAACCTCATAACTGAATAATATCCATTCAATGATAACCTTTTTTCCACAATTTAACAATATAATCACGGGGGATTTTTTTCCATTGGGCTAAATCTTTTTCACTAACTTGCTCATAAACATGCTTGGAAAAACTGGCCAAACTTTTTTCATTATAAGGGCAATTATCTTGCTCCTCAGAAGGGGGAAGGACTGGGGGAGTTTCAGTCGGTTTATTATCTTTACTATTTGCTGGCAAGGAGGAAGTATTTGTGAAAAAAACAACTATTCCCAAACCGAATATTCCGATAATCCCACTAACTATTAAGGTTAGTTTTTTTTTTTTTTTTTTTGCGAAATTTTTCTATCATAATGCCATTAATTATTTGTATAAGGTTTTTTTAGATAATAGGTTTAAATTTCAATAAATTAGCTAAATCACTATCTTTAATGTATAAAGCGGTAGTGGAAACTCGACTATGACCTAAAACTTTTTGTAAAATATTAAGGGGCATTCCGGCCAAAAGGTTATAAGTAGCAAAACAACGCCTTAAAGTATGGGGGGCTAATTCAGTATTAGGGCTAATATTTAAGTCATAACGAACTCGGTTTAAAAACTCTCAAAAATCCCGGCGGTTAGTTTGGTTTGGTTCTCAATTATGACTCTTCAATATCTCTGCTATTTCAGGAGAAACATAAATATAACGTTCTTTTCTTCTTTTGCCCCGTAGTAGATACAAATCACTATATTCTGGTTCAGGATGTTTTAGTTCTAAATTAAAATTAATTGCTTCGGTTATTCGTAACCCAGTCTTTCAACAGAGGAGAAATAAACAATAATGCAGTCATCTTTTTCTTTCGCTTTTATGATTCGGTCTAGTAGCAATAAAGTCTTGGATTTCCTGCAAAAGTTGCTGAGAAGGTAGTTGTTGTAAGCGTTTTTTAGGCTTTTTCATGGTATTTATAATAATTCCTGGTTAAAATTTTATCAAAATTGCTTGCTTTAGACTTATTAGTAAAATGGTATAACTCCAACTTTATATTTTTTCCCCTTTCCTCGTGATGTTTATTTGAAATCTTTTTTTAAAAGCTGAAAGCAAGTTTTCTTGCCAAGTATCATTTTAGTTACTTCTTCGGATCAATGACAGATGAGGGTTGACTTGGATTAGACTTTGGATTGGCTGTGCTGGTTGGCAGCGAATTCGTCAATCATTTCGGCTGCTTAACATTAAGTTCCTCGCCCTAACAAATTGGGTACGAATTTGACAAACTCTTTCTACTTCTTGGTGAGTGAGTTTTTCAAAACCTTTGCTTACCTTTCACTTTGCCAATTTTAGTTCAGTATCGGCTAACTCCAAAGATTCTTGGGGTATTGCTCTTTCCCGCCAGAGCAGTAATCTTTCTTGTTGAAAAAAGAGCATTTGTAAATCAAATAAATCAGTTTTATGGCTTATCCTCGTGACAGTCGAATTAAGGAAATGGGCTCACTGGTGAAATTTTTTTGCAGCTCGAAAATAATCTTGAAAACTTTTTATGCGAGCAATTTTCTCTCTCTGTCCTCGGTTGCTTTCTCCTCCGGCCAGTTTGTCGCTGAGACCAAGCACTCTCTTTATTTTTTCTACTCCTGCTCTTTCTCTTTGATTAGCACAATAAAAAGTAGATAAATTTTCAGTAGGTAAATACTCCAAACCACTATCAATATCAGTAGCGTTAATATCTAATTCGACTAAATTAGTGAAGTTTTTCAATTCTTCTAGTGAACCAAAAAAACGGTTATAAATGTTTTTGTCTATTCTTTTTTTTTTATTAGTTCCTAAATACAAGTCGCGAACCCTTGTAAAACGAGAAAAAATGCTTAAATCACTATGCGAGAAATTATTATTATCAAGACGTAGGGAAGTCACTTTTTTTGGATTTTGGGAAGAAAGGTCGAGTTCAGTCAAAAGGTTATTCGAACAATTAATAATGCCTAAGTTGACTAAGTTATTTAAATTTAAACTCCCTAACTCATTATTAGCACAACTGAGGTAAGTCAATTTGGGACAATTAGATACCTTTAACTCTGTAATTTTTTGATCCCTTACCAATAAATTTTCTAAGTTAACAAAATCACTTAAATCTAATTCTTTTTCTAGTTTTATAGCGAGAAAATGGTTATTTTCGGAATTATCAGAAAACATTTGGAGAAGAGAGAAGTGCGTTTTTTCTTTCCCGGCTATCAAAATCTTTTTTACTTTTTTTCTTTGGCTTTTGGTAGGGTAGGTTTCATTTAGTCATTCTTGAGCATTTTTCGTTTCCATATAATAAAGGTTTTAATTCCACTTTGCTCTCTATTGAATAATTTTTTGTTAGTTATTACTTAACAAGATGGTTGCTGAATTAACTTTCTTGATTATTTATTTCTCTTTTTAATTTAGAACTGGCTCGAAAACTGAGACGATTTTTTTCTTTCACCGTTATTAGTTCTCCATTGTGAGGGCTACGAACTTGACGAGCCGCCGAACGACAAACTTTTAAAGCAAAATAACCATGGAATAAAATATCTTCTTTTCTTTGTAAACTTAATTTTATCTCCTCTAAAAATTTATTAACTATTTGGGAGGTTTTTCTTTCGGCTCAGTATTTCATTAACTCATTTAAATGAGCCTCTAATTGCTTTTCATTAAGGTTGAGGCGAAGACCGGGTTTTTTTCGAGCATTTTTTATTTGTCGCAGAATTTTCTCCACTAATTTTGGCTCGTGGGAAGTAGTATTCGCTATCCTTGTAATAAGGGCTTCTTTGTTAGCCACCTTTTCTTTTTGTTCAGTCATATACTTAATTTTTTTAAATTGTTGGGGTGAAAATTAGACAATTTTTTGGATTTCTTTTTCAAAATATTCACACAAACTTTTAAATAAGAAAGTGTTATCTTGGCTGTAAGTTTCGTATTTTTCGCCGTGATGTCCTCGTGGACAATGATGTCAAACTAGAAAAGCATGAGCAAATTCGTGGGCAATGGTTTTGTTATCCGGATTTTTTCTTAACCGAATAGTAATTGCTTTAGGTCGAGAATGAGCGATTTTTTTCTGCTCTTCGACTAATTTTTCTTGAACTTTTTTGATTTCTTCGTGGGTTTTCGGTTTTGCTTCATCTGCCACTAACTCTAATTCTCTTTCTAAATTAGTTAGTTTTTTTTCTAAATTTTGAATGTTTTTAACTTTATCACGAATATCTCCTATTTTGTCTTTTCATTTGGTACATCCTAAGTCTTCTTGACAATGATGACAGGCTTCTTGGCAAATTTCATCTTCTATTTCTGCTTCGGGAAGAAACTTTTCTTTTAACTTTTTTAGTATTTGATTCATATTAATATTAAATTTTTTCAAGAATTAGGTTTTGCTTTATGAATCACTCTCCTTTTCTACACGCATAACACTCATTCAACATTAAACAGAGAATATATAAGATTTCTTACTCTGTTAAAGAAAAAAAAATACAAGATATTATTAGTATTCATAAGGAATTAGATAAAGATTAAAAGAGATAATTAGTGCTTAGTTTATTATATTATTAATTTTAAAAAGTATTACAGAGTTATCCAGAATTATTTTAGTCAAATTTAGAGACTTTAGAACAAAAACTTACTAAAATAATAAATATTACTCTTTGAGAGAATGGTAGGAACTGGTTATCTCAGTATAGCCAACTCTTACCAGTCTTCTACCATTCCCTAAGAGGATAATCTCCTTAAGAAAACTCGGGATAAATTTAAAAAGTGTTCAGATATTTTTTAAGTAAAATTACTAATCTCAATGACTAATCCACAAAAAAAAAAAAAAAAACAGAGATATTAGAGACTTGAACTAATTTAAAGAATAAACTAAGTAAATTAGTCTACTTAGACCAAAATAAAGGACTAATTAAAGATGCTTTAGAGATTTATTTAAATCAGTCTTCTAGTTTTTTATCAGAACAAATGCTAATTCAAAATCCAGTTTACTTTAAAATACCTGCTGATTATCAAATTACTTCGCTTACTGAACCTACTGTTCCAGAATATGACTCGACTGGTCAGTTAAGTCCAGTATGGAAAGAGTATCTAACTAAGCAAAAGTGAAATAGTTATCTGAGTCAAAAGGAGAAGAATGAAAAGATAGTTGAAGAATGTAAAGAGTTATTGAAGGAGTTAGAATAAGTTTGGTTGGATAAAGTGCTTAGTTTGAGAAGGTTTTTTAAGGGTGGTGTGTTTTGGTATAAGAGGGGGATTAGTTAATGGATATTAAAGAGTAAATAGTTATTAGAAATAAATAATTTGTAATTGTTTTATTATACAAAGTATTAAAAGGAGAGTTTTTAGACTCCCCTAGGTTATTTAGGTGGTTGTTCGATTTGAGCCTGTTGTTGTTCTTGTCAGTAAGTAAAGAATTCTTGGTTTAGTTGTTCTAGATTATAATGATTAAGGACTTCTTCTGGGTTGAAGCGTTTAGTGTCTCTGAGTCAAGAGCAGAAGTTGTAGTCAGTTGGTTGGAGACCGATGTTTATTCAGTCTTGGACTTGTTGAGGGGTGAAGTTAAGGGCTTGTCAAGATTGGGTTAGTTCATTAGTGAAAGTGGGGTGGAAAGTTTGTCAGTCACATTGCTTTTTGGTATCTTCATTCTCTATCTTAAGATTCATGAAGTCAACTTGTAAGGAATTGGAATAGAATTGTTTACTGATTTCTTTGCTATTTTGCGGTTCTGGCAAGTTGTTAAAATTTAGTAAACGACTAGTGTAAATAGCCGAAGGATGAATTTTGTAATTTGGATTACGTTTCGGTAAAAACTTGTTATTATTTTTTTTTGCTTCCTTGCACTGCTTGGTGATTTCTGCATCTTTTACGTTCATAATTTCATAATTCCATTCGCCCAGAATTTTATAGAGGTCATCGGCAGTTGGGCGATTTGTTGGTTCAGCATCTCAGCACCTTTTAATTAAGTCTTCCAATAATTGAGGTATTTTAATAGTAAAGTTAGGGCGGAGTCCTTGGCATATCTTTGTTGCTAAAAATTCATCATGTGCATATTCATAGTAGGGAGGAAATCCGCTAAGTATTTCATAAGCCACTATCCCAAACGAATAGATATCTGCCGCTCTAGTGTAAGGTTTTCTTCGCAATACTTCCGGAGCTACATAAGGAAGAACGCCATAAATTTTATCTTTATCTGCTTCGTTAACTGGCTGACATAGTCCTAAGTCAGTAATGTAAGTTAGACCAATGCCATGGTTCAATATATTACCAATATGTAAATCTCGATGAATTAATCCTTTTTTATGAATTTCTTTTAACCCCTGAGCAATAGTAAATAATTGGTTGAACTTATTTTTAAAATTTAACCTCCAATAGTTACTTTTTAAATAATTTCTTAAGTTACCGCCTGATACATACTGCATTACCATTAGATAGTTTTTAGTTTCGGGTTCTCGTGAAATTCCATAACACTTCACAATACCATCGTAATCATCCTTAAATAGTTTGTGATAAGTAATTTCCCGTAAGAAATCGGCTTTAATATCTCTAAAATTATTTAAACTTTTTAACGCAACATCTCTGCTGTCCCACCTAGCTTTGTATATTTTGCCAAATCCTCCTTCAGTTAAGTACTCAACATTCTCAAACCTATTGTAGGGTATTCATTCTAATAGATTTTCTCAATCAACTTCCCTTGTTTGATGTTGTTGAATATATTCATTAATAGTTTGATTGCCGCTCGAATTGCAATATTTACATCAACCGTGTCAAGCATTAGGCTGCTTACACTCTTTGCATAGACCATACTCTTTATATAGTTTTTTCAATTTTTTGTTTGTATCGCCATAATTCAGCACCCACTTAGCATCTAACTGTTTAACATCTCTTAGTCAACAAATATAGTCATTGTCGGTTGGCATTAATCCAATCTCGATTCACTCTTTAGCTTTTTCATAAGTAATTCCTTTTTCTTCTCATGTTTTCTGCAACTCAGGAGTAAAGTTTTGGTGAATATTTTTTCAGACTAGATTGTATTCATTTCTCAGTATATATAAACTATCCTTTATTTTTTGAGGGTCAAGTTTTCTTTCTTTTTTAAGGTACTCAGCTAAACTATATTCATTAACTGTTAGACCAATCTCCATTCAGGTCTTTATTTCTTCTTGGGAAAATCCAATCTCTTTCCATGTAACCTCTTTTTCTTTGTTAGTGAACAAAACTAATTGTAAAGAGATTTCTTTCACTCTGCTTTCTGGTCTTTCTTTTACGGAATGCTCAATTAATCTAAGGCTATCTGGTAAGGATTCTACTCCGCTATTAATATCAGTGTTGCTAATGTCTAAATATTTTAACTTGCTTAAATTATATAAAGGTTTTAGGGAACCAATTCAGTGATTATAAATACCCTGATTGACTTTTTCTTGGTTAGTGTTACCGATGTATAAAGTTTGTAAATTAATTAAGTGACTAAACATGGATAAATCTTTTTCGGAAAAATTGTTATCCCTAATATCCAATAGAGTTAATTGATCAGCTCGCATAGGGAGAATTAAATCCTGTAAATAATTATCATTACAAAAAAATCATTCTAACTTTTTTAATTTTCCTAAGTCTAACTCAGTAAGTTGATTATTTTGGCAATTAAGAAATTCCAATTTTGAACAGTTGTTCAATTTTAACACAGTCAAGTTATTATTAGAACATAGTAATCTCTCTAAATTCACAAAATCAGATAAGTCTAAGAAGCCTTTTCAACTTTTTTCTTTTCATTGATGACTAATATTTAATACTTTTATCATACTCCTTTGTCCTTTAGGAAAGTTTTGATCTAATCATTGGTAGACAACTTGGGTGTTAAATTCCACTCTAAATCTTTCTAAATTTGATTTTAGATAAGCAGCGAAATTCGCCTCTTTTAGTTGTAATCCTATTTCAATTCATGATTTAGTTTGTTCAACAGAAAACTCTTTTTCTGTTCATTCTTTTTGTAGTTTGAAAGTAGAGATGCCCAGGTTTTTTCATTTAGTGTATTCCTCTCTTGTTTTTTTTAACCATTCATGGTAGCCTAAGACTGCTTGGGGTATGTAGCCTAATTCTTTTAAATAACTAGCGAAATTAGCATCATTAGGATTTAAGCCAGCACCAATCCATTCCTTAACTTGATTGTAGCAAAAACTTTCGCTTTCTCATTGAGTTTTTAATAAATCGGTAAATCCAGGATGAATTTCTGTTCAGTTTGTTCCCTGAAACTGATGAATAATATTCGTTATCGTTTGTTGTGGTTTACAATGATTAAATGGCGGAGATTGCAAAAAAGAACTATTAGATGCTTGTTTACAAGAGCAATATTCTTCTCTTAACTTTTGCTCATTATTAATTAACTGTGGTTCTTTACCTTTAATATCTCTTAATCATTGAGCATATTCAGCATCTTCTATATTTAAACCAACATCCAATCATTCCTTAACTTTTTCGCTATCAAAACCTCTACTTTTTCAGTCCTCTTGATTTTTGGAATAAGGAGAGATGCCAACAGCACTTCATTTTTTCTCTCTAATATACTTTTCTTTTTGCTTCCTAACATAACTATTATCATTAACCAATTGTTCAGGAGAGTAACCTTGACCCTGTAAATAAACGGAGAAACCAACTTCTCTTGGACTTAAACCAATACCTATTCATTGACTAACTTGTTCATAATCAAATTTAGCTTTTTCTCAATCTTTTTGTAATTCGAGAGTAAAATCCGAGTGGATGTCTTTTCAGTCTCTTTTTTCGCAATTTACTTCTTTTTTATCTTCTTTAAAAATATTTTTTATCCCTTTCATTATTTATGCTTTTCAATCTTTCAGTTCCTTACCAGCACCAAAAACCCCACTAAGACTACTCCAATCACCCCTAATCCTATATAAAGAGCAGTTTTATCACTAGGTTTAGCATTATTAACATGAGAATTACTTTGTTTTTTTAGTAATTCCGCTAATTCTTTCTTTTTATCGGCTAATAATACTTCTTCTAGAGGGTTTTTAGTAGGTTTAGATTCTAAAACTTTGATTTCTTTCTGTAAGATAGTAATTTGAGTATCTAAAGGTAAAGGTTTAATTAGTTCTTTAGATTTAGTCTCTAAAGCCTTTAATTGTTGTTTTTTAGAGTCTAATTCTTGAATGTTAGAATTAGTAGGATTTTGTTCTAATTGCATGATTTCTGAAAGTAATTGTTGCTGTTGAGTGAAATTGCTCTCTCTCTCTCTCTCTCTCTCTCTCTCTCTCTCTCTCTCTCTCTTATATGTAAGTTATTATTATTATTATTATTACCAGCATTATCCTTTTGATTTTCCACATAATCATTAAGTCCTTGGTTAAAGTCATTAGTCATGTCTTTCCGTTCCTTGCTTAGTTTTTTTAATTCGACTAAGGTTTCTTCATGATTTTGTATTTTTTTTTCTTGGGCTAATTCCTTTTCATAATGATTAATAAAGCAGTCTTCAGAGCAAAACTTATTATTGTCTACCTTTTCTCTATGATAATAATAATTCTCAGGATTAGGTTGATAACACTCACTGCAAACTCCTCGATAGCAAATTTCACAAATTAAACCCCTCGCACCTCATTTTTTTAAAGAGGAATCATTTTGGTAGTATTTGCCAGTAATTTCTTTAATTTTTTGATTACAATTATCACAAAGGCAATATTCATCAAAGCAATGTTGAGAACAAAATTTTTTCCCATCTTTTTGGAAATATTGACCAGTTATTGTTTTTTTACATTCAGAACAGTAATTAAGGCTGTTTAGAATATTAGCACTGTTAGTGTCGTTTTTGTTGCTTTCCTCTTCATATTTGGCTTTTATCTCTTTTAACTTATTGACTATACCACTATAATCCCAAAAATCATTCATACTAACCTCTCCATTTATATTATGAGAATTAAGAAGACCTTGAGCATTTAAAAGATTCCTCGAATGTTTTTCAAAGGCAGAATTAACTTTTTGATTTTGTTCTTGAAGATTAGTAATTTTTTCTATTTCCGTTAGTTCTTCTCTTGCTTGTGTTCTAAAAGAGACATAATTATTAAAAGAGTGCTTGGCTTGATTTTTGTCCATGTTCATTAATACTGTTGAGTTATATTATAGTTTTACAAAAACCATACTGTGCTGCATTCTTTTATTTAATCTTTCTCCTTTTCTTTAATAAAAGTAAAGTAAATTACTAAAAAGATGATGGCTCCGATTATTAACTTAGTGTTGTGATCCATTTCTAGTAAAGATAAGCCACCTCCACCAGTTACTGCTTTATTACCTTGCTTTATCAAACTTTCTATTTTTTCATCTAATCCTTTTATTCTAGTTTGACTACTACTTCTTTGGGAGACTAGAGAAGCGAGTTCGCTTCTAATTTGAACCTTCTCGCTTTCTGAAACATTAGGGTCATTTAGTTTAGATTGCTTTTGGGCAATATTCTGATCCAAAGTATTTAACTGACTTGCTTCTTGACTTCTTTCATTTTGAAGATTGTTTATTTCTTCTTTTATTTGTTTAGATATTTCGCCTTTTAGATTTAGTTGTTTATTCTCGTTTTCTTTTTTTTTGTTATCACTATCTATTGCTGAACCCACTAGGTATGCTCCACCGATAGCAGCCGCTTGGACTGCTAAGGAAGCACCGCCGGTAGCAATGCCTACTGCCACAGTAGCCACAATAGTAGTTGTATTTTCTTTAATTCAACTTCAGAGTGACATATTTATTTGCTGTTTATAGTCCTAAGGACTTTTTTATTTGTTGCTTTCATATTTGATTTGTTTTTTGATAGTTTTTAATTGTTTAGTTAATTCTTTTAATTGATTACGGTAGGTCTCAATATTTTCGGTTCAAAGGGATAGGGTGGAGTTAATTTCTTTGATTTTAGATTCTATTTGGATTATTTTTTGGTTCATATTTTTTTTATTTTTTATATACTTCTTTGGCTAGGTCGGCTAATTGTTGGCGGAGTTGCATAATTTCAGTTTGGGCACCACTACCAGTCATGGATATTTGAATCTGTTGTTTCATCTCTTGTATTCTTTGGTTTAAAAGTTCTAAAGAAGTTGTTAAAGCATTAGAAGATTTAGCCAATACATTAGCCATTTCAGCCAAGTTGGGTAAATTTTCATCTAATACTTCAGCTTCCTTTGGTATACGAGGCGATTCAAATTCTCCATCATAAGAACTTAGCTGCCCGCTTTCTTTTTTTTGTCAAAAGAACTGAAAGAATTCTCCAATTTCAATCTCAACTTCATCCTCTTCAATTGTCATATTTCCATCTTCATTTTTTACTTCAATTTCTTCTTTTAGAATGGCGTCAGGATTGTTAGTAATAAATAACTCCCAAAACTTTGCTCTATGAGGCTTTTCTGGATCGTGTCCTAGAAAGTCAGATACAAAAGAAAATTTGTTAAACTTATTTACTCATTTATTATCCTCTTCATTCAAACCAGCCGTGTCTTGTCAACGGCTAGGAAGTGGAGGAACATTAAATCCACTCGGTAGTTTATATTTAGTTGGATTATTTTTAGCATCATCAAAATATTTCTTAAATTCTCCCCATGTCCAACTAAAGTCTAAAGGATTACTTAATCTTCCTTCGCGGTAAGTGGCATTCTCTACATCTTTCAAGTGGTTGGTAGCAAATATTCAAAGATTTTGCGTTTCTTCTTTTCGACTGGATTCACTACCTTCTAATAGTTCTTTTAAAAATCTTAGTTTATTAGGGTCATGAATTAAAGAATTGTTACTAATTTGGTCACATTCATCTACAAAAAGAATATAACGAACTTCTCCATTAGTTTCTCTTTCCATTCCATAAACTTTAACCAAATTTCACTCTAATTCACTAATAGTATAAACAAACTTCTGTAAAGGAGCAATACCTGCATCATAGTCTTGTTTAGTAGGAGTTAAGGAAGAGCCTTTAACTATTATCAAAGGGCATTCATCAGTCTCGATACAAATCTTTTTCACTGTAGCTGATTTACCAGTGCCTGGTGCTCCAAAGAAAATGGCATTATTGTCCTTTTTAGTGCTTGGATTAGGATTGCCTCTCCAAGGCGGAATCTCTCGCATTACTTGGTTATATCAGTTTTGAATTTCACTGGATCAGATCAAATCTTCATTTTTATCCAATAGATAACAGTTTTTTTTATTTTTTTCTTTCCCTAATTTAAAAAACTCCTCCATGGAAGGTGGAAAGTGAATATCATAACTGGCAGCTCGGGAAAAGTGAAAGTCTTCATGCTTGTCTCCATCTGGAAATAATTTAGCATCCTCATTATAACGGCCAACTAGAATGTTAGAGATTTTTCTTATTTCATTGTCGGCTCAACTTTTAGCAGGCAGTTTTCAAATTGCTCCTTTTAAAAACATTTGATCTTCTAATTCTTTTTGTAGTTGTTCAGGAGTTTTTTGATGTTCTTGCAATCATTTTATTGCTTCATTAAATTCATGCTGCTTATTAGCAAAAGCCTTTTTTTGAATTTCATTGCCATTAGTTCATTGTTGATAAGTTTGCAAAGTAGTTAACATTTCAGCAACATCATCTGATTTAGCATTCTTCACTCGGTCAAGTTCTGCTTGTAATTTAGTTTCTAGTTTTTTAATTTCCTCTTCCGGTAAATAAACCATAAAGTAATAGTAAGCAATACCGGCAACCAACAAGAGAAATAAAATCATTTGCTGTTGCTGTTTTTTCTTTTTTTTAGATTTAGTTTCTGCTTTCTTTTCAGAATCAAAATCAAAGTATTTATCTACATTATACATAAGTGTTTATTATTCTCTAAGTCTTTTATAAAAAGCCATTTGCCTTAGGATCTTATCCTCCAGTTGAGTTTCTTTTTTAGAAGATAAATTAGGATCAGATTTAGTTAATTGGTAAATAGCGAAAATGAGAAAAAGAGCAAGAGCAATCAGAATTAATCCTCTTTTTCAGGGTTCTAGATTAGTGTAATAAGGGGTTAATTCTTTGACCTTGGTTTCTATTTGCTCTGTATATTCGCCTAAAGTTTTTTTAATATCGTTAGTCATGGTCTTTTTGGTTCATTAGATAAAAGATTATTAGAACAGCAATGCCGGCAAAGATTAGGAGTTGCTGTTGGTTGGATTGTTGAGGGTTATTAGAACCTGAGTTACCCCCTCCTCAAGGAGTTCAAGTATTTTGTCCTCCATTAGGATTGTTACCTCCATTTGGTTTTTCTCTTGGGTTACTAGGATCTGGAATCGAATTATTACTTGGTAGGTTTACTGGTTTATTACTAATATTACCACTAAAAAGCCTCCCCATATCATTTATATAACTGTATTGGGCTAGTTTAGATAAAGGATTCTTGGCAAGTCTGGCTTTAGCTTGTTTAATTGTTCGTTCGGCCGCTTGAGCAGTAGCAATAAATTGAGCCTTTTTAGCTGGATCAGTTTCCTTGGAAGCATTAGTCATGGCATCATTACGCTCAGTTTCTGCTTTTCTAATTTCTGCCTCTATCTCAACAATGTCCCTTTGGTGAACAGGATCAATTGCTTGTAATTTATTAAGTTCATCTTGTAACTTTTGTTTTAATTCGTTTATGAATGGACCCACAAAACTACCAAAATAATCATTTCAAATACAGCAAACATTACCTATTGATCAAGCACTCGATACTTGACACTTATTAATGCAGTCTTGTAATTTATTAACTAACTGTTGCTTTTTATTATTAAACTCTTGTTCATTAATTGCTAGAGTTAACTCTCGAGCATCGCTTTCTGTGCTAACTACATTATTGGCTCATTGTGCCAAAGTTTGACAATCTTCCATTAAATTGTGATTTCCTCCTCAATTACATCTTCCTTCAGTTCAATAAGTAGCATCGCCACTAGCTTTGTCGCCAATTTGTCGACGAGCTGCAGCGTTAACTCAAAACCTATTTTTGATGTCTTGAGCATTAGTGAAATTAGTTAATGAACCTAAACCACTTGAGCCACTGCCACCGCTTGTTCTTTTTGGCTGGGCAATATTGTATCTATTTGGTTTTTTATGTTTTCCCATAGTTTTGTAATAATTTCTAATGTTTTAAAAGTTGAGGAGTGAAATGATAAATGGTTTTTGTTAAGGTAACTGGGTAGGTAAAAATAAGTGTTTAGTAAAGAGTAAATAAAAACTAATCCTGAGGATGACAATTTCTAATCCATAAATGGTTATTCGTATTATCTTTAAATCAAAAGACTAATCGGTATTTCCTTCCCGCATAAGGTGCTCTTTCTCAAACATAGATATCACGTTTATCGTTTCTTTTGCGGGGTTTCATTTCCTTAGGTAATCTTATTACTAATTGACAAATGATGTCTTTAGTAATCCCATGCTTGAGATGTTTTTGAAAATAGTCAGTGATGGTGAAGTTAGTTATTAGATAATTATTAAAGACTAGATTACAATGATATTCTCAGGTTTTTTCTTTCTTTTGTGCCATTACGGGGGTTTATTTTTTTGTTTTTGGCTTGAACTACTTCTAATTCGAGAGGTTCAAATAATCGACTAGCATAAGCCACTAATCTATCCAAAGTAAAGTAATCGATTCGACAATAGAGAATATTTTCAGTTTCTGAGTTGGTTAAATCAATTATCTGAGCTAACTTTTCATCACTTAATTTCTTTTCTCGTTGATAACGAAGAATATTTTGACAGATGCTATATTTGGCTTTTTCCAGTGGAGTAGGGTTTTCTGGTAGAGCTCACGAGCCATTTCCTCAGTCTTGGGGACTTTCGATTTCAGCTAGGACTTTTTTAAAGCCTTTATCTTTATTTTGCTTACCACTTACTGGACTTACTTTTCTTTTTTTTAGGGTTGGTTTGATTTTAGTCATAATAGTAGATTAGGATCGGGTATAAATTAGTTTTACTAAGTAGGTTAAATTTTAGCTTGACGGACTAATTCTTGTAATTGGTTGATATCTCCGGCTCGCACTAAGGTTCTGAGTCAGTTGAGTTTAATATTTAGTTGTCGGTATTTAGTATTAATCTTTTCTAGTTCTTGCTGGTCTTCTTGGGCTTTTTGTTGAGTATAAATTAGGTTGTTTTGATTTTCAAGTAGTTTTCTTCAACCTGAATCAATGGATTCTTCTTTTAAATCTTTTAATCTCTTTTTTAGAGAGTCGTATTTGACTTGGTCAGTAGAAGATAACATTTGATTAGGAGGTCGGTTATCCATTAAGGCTAGTTCTCTTAAACAATACTGTACATCTCCTAACTGCTGAGGAGGAATAATTTTAACTCATTGCGAAACACTCTTCGGTTTAACTACTGCTCACTGATCTTTATGATTAGCTTTTAGTTCAGTAAGAGTAGTAATTAGTTTAGTTTTTAATTCGGT